AATACTTCTTAATTATACAAGTACTGTTGCACAAAACCTATGAAGAAGTGGTTAAGTCTGGCGGACACATATGAAAACTTAGAAAAAAAATTATAAATGAATTACTTACTACTGATTATTGCTCGGACTTTTACATTCATATGTACCACTGTATTAAAATATAAGAATAAAATTATACAATAAATTTGAATCAATAAATCTTGAAAACAATAGAGCTATGATTCTTGAAATTTTAACTCATAGTTTTAACAACAGAGACGTTTAATATAATCGTTTTTTGTACGATTTTGTAAAAAATTAGTCGAGTTTAAAGAACAAATGTCTCTTTTTCAATCAATTTGCTACGACCTCACTGTAAGAGCACATGTGAATTTGAAAATCTTTCCGATTTGATTTCTCAAAAATTATAGCTAGAGCTTCTAAAATGATGATATATTATGTATAGTGATGAAATAAGTGTATTATAATATTTAGAAAAATTTCAGTAAGAAACAAATGACGAGAAAATGTCTCTAGAACTACTTCAAAACAAATAAGTTACTCTACTGATTTTTTTATCACAAAATAACTGTTTTTTTAAGAATTATTGTTAGATTAAAAAAAAACTTCTAGTATAAATAATAAAATGACTAGCAAAATGAATTCTCATTGAATTATTGTATAGTTTAATATCTAACTTTCACATGGCTGTTTCTACAAAATAAATGAAGTTTCACTGATGGGACAAATGGCCTTAAAAGTTTTATTTGTATTGCCTTAGAGTATGTTAACTGATCTTTCCATAATAACAGAATATATCTATGAAGATGACATTTTGAAATACTTAAATTTCTTTTCCGAACCAATTGCGAGATAAAAATTAAAAAACAAGCAACGTCCAATAAATTAAATTCAAGTCAACACGTATAAAAGACACGGTACTGAGATAAAAATTTTCCAATCGTACAGTTGAACAGTAGAAGAGCAACAAGTAACACAAACAGTGTAGAAGTAATCCAGAGACCAATGGCGTGGAGCCCAGGTGATATTACAAACTGTAATGGTGACCCATCAAATTCTGCCTGTCGACCGGAAGTGCTGGCATTCGTATCATTTTTAGTACAGTATATGTCACATTCGTATGACGAACTTTATAGTGATAAACGAAAACTGTTAAATAAAGAAGAAGCGTCTGTTGACGAATATGATTTCATCATCGTTGGAGCTGGTACTGCAGGTTGTGTTCTTGCGAACAGATTGACCGAAATAGAAAACTGGAGGGTAAATACTAAGTTTTTAAAATACTATTATATACCATATGTTGTTCACGTAAAAATAATATGAAAAATTTGTATTTGTTTTGAAAGGTACTACTACTAGAAGCAGGAGATGAAGAACCAATTATTGCTGATATCCCTGCAGCAATGGGTTACACTTGGGGTAGTTCTATCGATTGGTCGTACAAAACACAACCAGAATCTCGTACTTGCGCTCGTCAGCAGAATAATGCATGCGAGTGGCCAAGAGGAAAAGTCATGGGTGGAAGTAGTAGTATCAATGGTATGTGGTACGCACGTGGTGTTAGGCAAGACTACGATGGCTGGGCCAACTTGGGCAATCCTGGCTGGAGCTACAAAGATGTTTTTCCTTACTACAAAAAACTGGAAGATGTTCACGATGCCAATGTAAGTATTGATAGTCATTTTTAAAGAATTTTATCATTGTCACACTAAAAAGAAAATATTGAGTTAACGTTGTTCATGTTTATTCATCCTGCCATAGATTTTAGCTCAATATTCAGATAACTATGGTACAGGGGGGCCTTTAGCTATTGGTACATTTCCATACAAAGACAAGAATAATAGATTCTTAACAAATGCGTTTAAAGAAATTGGATTGTATGAGACTGATTACAACTCCAATTCTAGTATCATTGGAACAGCTGATCTAGAGTTCACTAGTAATTACGGAGCGAGACACAGCGCCAACAGTGCGTACATACGACCTATTCGAGGAAAAAGAGAGAATCTCACAATACGACCAAACAGTTTGGTTACGAAAGTATTTATTGACGAGAAAAAAAAACAAGCTTCACATATTGAGTACACTGATCTGAAGACAAAGAAAACAAAGAGAGCTGTGGCAAAGAAAGAGATAATTATTTCTGCAGGAGTCATCGAATCACCGAAGCTGCTCATGTTATCAGGTATAGGAGGGGCAAATGAACTCCGGGAAGCAAATATTACGTTAATACACGAGTTACCCGGTGTAGGAAAGAATCTACACGATCACTTAAACGTCATTACAATTCTGATTGATTTCGATGATGAAATGTCAGTTTACAGTACAATAGAAAATATGGAAAATGATTTTGCTACTTGGATGAGCACCCATGGAGGTCCATTATCAGGACGTGGATTTATAAGTAATGCAATTTACTATCAAACACCATATGAAACTACCCCAGGAGTGCCTGACATCCAAATTTCTTCTCACGGCACTCTAGTTAATCAATCGACAAATGAGCCTATATCCTATGTTCCCAGCGCTTACTACAATCAACTTAGATTAACAACAACGCTTCTGAATCCAAGAAGTCGAGGAGAGATGAAATTAAACAGCACCGATCCTATCTGGAGTCCACCACTTATTTACGCCAACTATTACAGTGATTCTCGAGATACAGAAACTGTTATAGCAGGTATGAGGATCCTGAGGGGTCTTCTGAACACAAACACCTTTAAAAGTAAAAAACTACAAGAACGCATATTTGACGAATGCAAACAATACAAGCTTCATAGTCGAAATTATGACCTATGTATTATAAAATATTATACAGCAACAGGATATCATCCAGTGGGGACGTGTAAAATGGGACCGAAAAGTGATCCTATGGCTGTAGTTGACTCAGAATTAAAAGTTCATGGCCTTGAAGGCTTGAGAGTAGTCGACGCCTCGATAATGCCGATTCTTACAAGAGGAAATACGAATGCACCGACATTTATGATTGCCGAGAAATTAAGCGATGTGATAAAAAAAAACTGGTCCTAAAAGAGACCCTACTGTAGTTGATTGAAGATGTATTTGACTTAAAATTTTAACATATTTTTAGTTGTTCCATAATACACTGTTACGTTATTAAATAAAAACTTATATCTTAATTCTTACTCAAACTTTTTATCACCAAAGAAATTTTTTTTTTTTACTATTCCTTCAATAATTTTATCTCAGTAATTATTAGCTAGATCAAACGGTGAGCAGATTATAGTTTTAGTGAAAATATTTAAGACGCTATAAGGTGTACAATTATTATTAATGATTATTAAAACGTCTAAATAGATAGTAAAGTTATAATCAGCAAAGTTTTTACGAACCTTTTTTAGTTTTTGTTTTTTCTTAAAGAGCAATTCCAAGTTTCTGTACTCGGAGTAAAAAGATTTTTCTAAAAATATTTTTTTCATCGACTACCAATTCACTAAAACTCTGGCTGTATTTATACCGTTAGCATACTGATTAATACACATAAATTATTTTATTTCAACAATAGCTGACAGTAATAAATAATTAATTAATTATTCTTGCTGCTCTCATATAAGGCCAGCTTTGTTCCAGTATACTTTTTACGTTAATTGATGACAGTGTTACGCAATATGCTTCGCTTGACGCTTTTTTTTATTTACAGTATTCTAAGGTTTGAATACATCTTGATTCGAGGCCGTTCGGAAAAAGTTCAGAACTGGACTATAAAAGCAGTTCGTATACTTACAAAATTAATAAGTGTTAAAAATTGGTACATCAAAATACTTCAAAAATCAGAGCTTGGAAATCATGATGTAACGTAAAATAATTTGTTTCTAGAGGAAAAATCATAATTTATAATTTTTTGAGAATCAAAAAAAATCCAAACTTTGATATGCGACTTAGTTAGTCCTATATTATTATTCTGAGTTTTAAAAAGTACTAGGCATTTTAAATAAGTTTGTCATATTACGTTAACAGAAGTTCAATTTTCAATTTTATCTTTGTCTCAATCTTCTTAAAGAACTCAAATTATAGAAAATTTTTTATATTATTTAGCAGAAAATTACTCATTTTAACCGAGTTTTATTAAACTCATATTGACATATTCACAGATAACATTTTTGTTATCTACTAATAAAATACATGTGACCTATCCATACCTTTCAGTGCCACGAGAATTGACTACTTCTCATAAGACACTACAACCAGGAAATGCTCATCATTATTTATTGGTGGTATTAAAAGGGAATAAACGTTGACGCACACATTGTGTTAAATGAATGATTAAACGTAAGTTCGGGAATTATGATACGTCATTTCCTTTTGATATAATTCATCTAAATAATCATCATTTAAAAATATCAATGTTTAATTTATTCAAGACGTAATGTAAATACATGTAATTTCTTAATTTGATGAAATTAATTCCAAAACACTTATTTACTTAATTTAAGTATTTTAAATATTTAATAGAGAAACATATCAATTTTAATTTTTTTATTAACTATTCAACTATTTTTCGTTACATAACAATACTCAAGAATATTGTCAACACAAATACTCTTGAGTAAACTATCTTGATATTGTCTAGAAGTTCTTAACTGTGTCTTGTCTTTACTCTTATCTTAAGATATAAAACAAGATTACATTAAGAGTACTCTTGGTATTTAACTAAGATTTTGATCTATCTTACCGTAAGTTGTAAAGCAAAATTTTTATTATAATTATTTGTACAACTGGTGTGATTTTTTTGAAATTAAGAAAACAAAAAAGAACATAAATATTAACTTTGAATAAGACTTTTAACAGCTTTCATTGTTTGTTAATAGCACTAACGGAGAGAAATGATTGAAAAAAATTATCAACGCTCAATAAATTTATCTGGGAAAATACGTGCATCATGACTCCCAACAAAACGAAGAGATATAAGAAGAAAATTTTTTTTTTTCATTCCAGTCAAACATATCACTGACAATAAGTCCATCACAGATAAATGAAAAATGGCATGGAGCCCTGCAAATATAGCAAACTGTGCGGGAAACTCTTCAGGAATTGAATGTCGACCAGAACTGTTAGCATTTATATCATTTTTAGTGCAGTATATTGGATATTCGTACGATCAACTTTATCCAGAAAAACGGAAGAAATCAGAAAATGAAGAAAATGACAATGACGAATATAATTTTATAATTGTTGGGGCTGGTAGTGCAGGATGTGTTCTGGCTAACAGATTAACCGAAGTACACAAATGGAAGGTAAGAAAAAACTTAAATTCTTATGATTAAATATGTTTGTTCTATTTTTATTTTCCACTTAAGGTACTATTATTAGAAGCCGGCGATGAGCAGCCTATTATTTCTGATATTCCTGCAGCAAGACCTTTACTTCTGGGAAGTTCTATTGATTGGATGTACAAAACACAACCAGAACGACACGCTTGTTTAAGTCAGGAAAATAGTACATGTTCTTGGCCAAGGGGAAAAACCATAGGAGGAAGTAGCTCCATAAATGCCATGTGGTATGTACGTGGCGTTAGGCAAGATTACGATGGCTGGGCTAACCTTGGTAATATAGGATGGAGTTATGATGATGTTTATCCTTACTTCATAAAACAAGAAAATCTTCAGGATCCTGAGGTATTTAAAAATTGTGACCTTATTGAAATGTATGAATAACTGAATTTGTATTCAATTTACCTTTCTTAGCTTTTAGCTAAATATCCAGACAGTTATGGTACCGATGGACCTTTAGCTATCGAAAGGAATCCATATAACGACAAAAATCATAATTTATTAAAGACAGCGTTTAAAGAAATGGGATTACCTGAAATCAATTACAATACAGATTCAAGTGTCATTGGTACGGCTGACTTACAGTTCACTAATAATCATGGAGCTCGACACAGCGTCAATAGTGCATACATAAGACCTATTCGTGGAAAAAGAGAAAACCTTATTATAAGACCAAACAGCTTAGTTACAAAAGTGGTTATAGATGAAAAAACTAAACAAGCTACGCACGTCGAGTATGTCGATTTGAAGACGAAGAAGACTAGAATAGCTGTGGCAAAAAAAGAAATAATAGTGTCTGCAGGAGCCATCGAGTCGCCAAAGCTGTTAATGTTATCGGGTATAGGAGCAGCGGATGAGCTTCGAGAAGCTAATATCAAAGTAATCAATGACTTACCTGGAGTTGGAAAGAATCTCCAGGATCACTTTAACGTCCTAACAATCCAAGTTAACTTTGACAATAAAACGTCTGAGTATAGTACTAGAACTAACATGGAAAATGATTTCGCTAATTGGATGAGTACCCATGGAGGTCCACTATCAGGTTACGGACTTATGAATATCGTAACGTTCTATCAAACGCCATATGAAACTACTCCTGGAGTTCCTGACATTCAAATTGCTTGTGAAGGCATTCTTAATGATCCATCAACTAATAAAGATATACCTTATACTCCTAGTTCCTATTATAATCAATTTTTACTAGTAACAACGCTTTTGAACCCTAAAAGTCGAGGACAGCTAAAACTTAACACAACTGATCCCATATCAAGTCCACCGCTCATATATGCCAACTATTACAACGATTCTCGTGATGTGAAGGCTGTTATAGCCGGTATGGGAATCTTAAGAAACATTTTGAATACGAAAACATTCAAGACCAGAGGATTTAAAGAAATTATATCTGAAAATTGTAAACAATATCCTATTCACAGTGAACAATACGATCATTGTATAATTAAATATAATACAGGCACAGGATTCCATCCAGTTGGAACATGCAAAATGGGACCAAAAAGTGATCCTATGGCTGTAGTTGATTCAGAATTAAACGTTTATGGTATTAAAGGCTTGAGGGTAATCGATGCCTCGATAATGCCAATTGTGACAAGAGGGAATACGAATGGACCAACTATTATGATCGCAGAGAAGTTAAGTGACTCGATAAAAAAAAGATGGATTTAAAATGAAAACTTTCTATCAAGGTTCAAGACATACTTTATGAACACTTTTAACAGTGATATGTAGTTGTGATGATTAACAAAATTATTAAGAATTGTTCTTATGAAATGATTAAAAAAAATTTGTTGGAAATTCAGAAAAGTACAGCAGTAAGAGATAGGGTCAAATGATGTAGTAACTTAAAGTTACTTTCAAAAAAGTGTCGTTTTAAAATTACCTTTAGAAAAATGCTCATTCAGAGGAATTTTTATTTATTACATTTTTTAATGGCACCCCTTGTTAAAGCATACGTTAAAATTGTTTATTAATATATTGTAATTTGATGCATAATTTACTTTTCGTTACGATGATGAATCCCTTAATGATTAATTATTTATTTACTTCTGATAGTGATTGACGTGAATTATGAAATAAAAATAAGAGGCAGTACTCTCACTTCAAAATATGAGGAAAAAAATTCCTCTTAGTTAGAGCTTTGTTCTACCAAAATCTAAATTAAACACATCCATTTTTCAATAGCTTGGAAAAAAATAACATTGATCGAGATCCAGTGTGCGGACGCGTATCTATTACATCAAATCGTACTTCGTTGGGTCAAGATACAAGCAAAATGTAACTAATGTAATAAAATGTTTTTCTAGTAAAGTTGGTTTGTTAACTGAATAAACAAAAAACATACATAAAAGTTCAATATATAATCCCAACCTCAACTATTATTTCTGCACCCTATGGCTGTGCTGTTTGGCACAATTGACTTTCCCAATTGAAAAATGGATACGATATTTCGTAACATTAATGGTTAAAATATTTCGTAAACTATCAACTAGTTAGGGTCAATATTTTTTTCCGAACAATAAAATTAATACTCAGTTTCATTTTCGAACAATAATTTTGAATCTGATAAAAACTTTTCAAAAACGTTTTCAAAATCAACCAAGTTGGGTATATCAATTAATTAACGAAAAAAAGAATATAATGAAGTCTGACATTGCATTTTTAAATTATAATCAATGTAATAAAAAAATAGAGGATGTTATCATTCCTCGTCATGCAAAGGCTGTACCGAACAGTACTGTAAGTTTTTTGGGCTCCAACTCACTGACAGCACCTATCGGTATATTGTATAAGGATCGTTTGAGAACAAAGGTATACGTCGTCCGAATGGGTATAGCTTACTAGTAGTCTACCTCGTGTTTGGTGTACATGCATGAACACTGGCCTTACACACTATGGCAGTCTCTATTTCTTATAGTGCACGAGCGTTTTGGCTTTCAAGATAAAATATGCGAGTTGTTTTTACTTGCAGAGATAAATATTTACAACGTAATGTAAATAGACTTTTAATAAATAAAGTACGATTTGTTTACGATTTGAACGTTAGAATCGTAATTATAAGCATTCAATAAAAATCATTGGTAATCAATAAGTAAGTTACTTTCAACTATCAAACGTATTTTTACAATAATGTTTAAAATTTTGACCGACGAATTTTCTAAATTTTTATTGTGGAGTTACACCGTAACTATAGTTTGCACGTACCAAAACTGTTGTATAAATGTGTGAATCACTTTTAGTTGCAATAATTAGTTTTCTTAATCAATAGATTTTTGATTTAATTTTATAGTTATGTAATCATGTTTATTAAGTGGCTGGCTATTTTATTGGAAAATCAAGAGTTGAAGACGATTTTTTATACTTTAAGGAATAAATTAACTCTTAACATAGCGAGTAAATAACTATTCATCCAATAATTAATGTTTAAAAAATAAATACATAAACAAAATAACATAGTTAATAACATAGTCAATAAGTCAGAGAATCTCATATACGTATCAGATTGGATAATTTACTACGTATTATTATTATTAAATAAGTAAGAATTTTTTTTGTAAAAGCAAATGTGAGCGACGATTATTTGCATTTCAAGGAGTAAATCTAGCCTACAATTGAGTCGATCGTGATTAAACACTCACGGAGAATTATGGGAAATATGATTTTTCATCGCGCATCTGAAATAGAATTTTATATTTTTCTTCACGTGTTTTAATTTAATCATCTTGAATTGAAGCTTAATTTATTACTTGAGAAATAAAGAATCGTCGTAAGCTCTTTATTTTGTAATAACATAAGATAGTTATTGAATAAAGTATGTAATACAGCTACAAAATTAAATGGACTTCGTCAGTAAGTTAGGGAACTCAAACTATCTTTGGACTGCCAGTAAGCTTTTTTGTTTGGTGTGTGATTGGAGCTAAAATTCAAATAAAATAAGTGTATAATATGAAATTCATCGAGAGTTTTATTTCAAAAACATATTCTCTCATAAAAAAAATATAAAAAATATAATTACATAAGATCCTAGTTAAAACAAAATAAGTTTATAAATAATATTCAAATGTTACCACAGAATGAAATACAATAAATTGTGTCACACACGGTTTTATTTCAAATTTTTTGATATTGTTTTATTTCTTAGATTCTTGCATATAAGTGACAGAAAAAGAATTTTTTTTTCAATTGATTTATGGCTTCATATAAATTTTAATATATAACATATGGTAAGTATGTTTACAAGGACATCAAAGTCTTATCTCAAAAGATTTATTGTTACTGAACAAAAGCTTTTATGTTGTTATATTCTTAGTAAAATAGCTCATGTAGTTTGTTTGTTGGATTGAAAAAAAAATCAGTTGCATTTAATCGTACTAATATTGAAACAAAGCAAAATTATAAAGTAAAAATTAATCATGTTTAGTGATATTTTCTGTATTTGTTCTTAAAAAAAAAAAAAAAAAAGTATTTAAGTAACAAAATGACACAATTTCACGTAGCGGTTTCTACTTGAAAAATTCGGGGTTCATGGTGTACAAAAGAAACTTTTTCTTAGTTTCATGTGAATCGAAAAATATATATTTTTCCTTTCCTGAAGTTTAACTTGAAAACTTGAATTATATTAATGATATATTATCAAAAGCTAGATATCGTATTTTTAATAGAAATACAATTTTATGATAATTCAAAACAAAGTAATAAATTGTTGGATCTGATTTATTAACAAATTAAAAATTTCTTTATTCGGTACTTTTATCTTCTGTATGTATAAGTATGTAGTTTTGTAATACTAAAAAAACATTTGCTTTTTCACTTCTGTATTGCAGAATTCATAATTAAGAACTGGAGGAAACTTAATTAATTTTGTCAAAATAAATAATTATTTTACGCCAAAAATAACAGCAAATTAGGTACTTTTTCCTCTTTTAATCTCAAAAAAATACTGACAGTACTTTTATGCAGTTTGATGCAAATAATGAAAATCTATTATTTTTTGTACGTAGATAAACAATAACCTCTAACATAATGTCACAAAATTTCCTTATTTATCTGTTTAAACTTTTAGTAAATAACCTATGCCATTCTAGTTACTGTAAATTTTCAAGTATCAGTATTTAATAAATTTTTTTTTGCTACTTAACGTCATCTTATTTCTAAAGTTTTTCTAAATTATGTGAAAAAAGTTGCTAGTAATCTTTATTGAAACGCCTAAGTATTGTTATCAAAGAATAATTTATAAGTTTCTTTCTTATTAAAAATGTATGAATCGTTTTTTAAATGTATTATAAAGTTAAAATATATCTTATGATACAAATTTAATTTAACTTCTCATTAACACTAATTACATTTATAGTTTTATCATAACTTCTAAAAGTACAAACAAATGAAGTATATTGTCATTCCGGTGACGTATTTAATTTGAAATATTATTGTAATGTAAAAAAGTTGATTTTTTTCAAATACCCACGAAATAAGTCACTTGATCTGATTCATCCAATCATATAATGAATAAAAAGCCCACTGTCATGCAATAATTAATGTTTCAGTTCTCTCGAAAAAACTTGGGAAAACTGTTAAAATTTATTATTTTCAGCAACTACTACTGAGACGTAAGCAGTCTAAAAAATATTTCTAAATAGTTACGGTACAATTTGAAAAAAAATTAGATTAATTGTGATGAAACAAATTTTTTCAAACACCACAAAAAACATTTTATTCTGTGTGACAAATTTTTTGTGAATATTAAAAGCTATTATTTTATTTTTATTTTGTTTCGGTAATATCATCTTACAAAAATAAGGATAAACCGAACGCGTTTAATTGTGAAGTTATAAAACGAATAATAAATATCAGCGTTTTGTTAACTGTATTTTTAATACAAATAATGGACTCAGTGATACGATTTTTTCCAGATTACAACAACAGAATCGTACTTTTATTTATTGTATATATTATTATAACACGGATTGGAAAGTGAAAAGAAGCATAAAAACAGAAAAAATTCCTTTTATCACTCAGAAATAGCCACGAGAGAATAGAGAAAAGGTAATGGCGTGGACCCCTACAAACGTAGCAAATTGCTACGCAGACCCATCGAATGGTGCCTGCCGACCCGAGTTGTTGGCATTTGTGTCATTTTTAATACAGTACGTGTCGCACTCATATGACGAACTTTATAGTGACAAACGAAAAAAATTGACCAAAATAGAAGACACATCAGTCGACGAATACGATTTTATTATAGTCGGTGCTGGTAGCGCAGGTTGTGTTCTTGCTAACAGATTGACCAAAGTAAAAAACTGGAAGGTAATTTCACCAAATGATATATTTAATATTTTCTGTCAATCGAATTTATGCAACTTGTTGATTTTTCTAGGTACTACTATTGGAAACAGGAGATGAAGAACCCGTTATTTCTACTATTCCTGCAACGATGAATATTATCACGGAAAGTTCCATCGATTGGTCGTACAGGACTCAGCCAGAACGGTACGCCTGTGCTAGTCAGAAAGACAGCAGGTGTGCTTGGCCAAGAGGAAAGGTCATGGGTGGAAGTAGTAGTATCAATGGCATGTGGTACGTCCGTGGCATCAGGCAAGACTACGATGGCTGGGCTGACTTGGGTAATCCAGGCTGGAGCTACAAAGACGTTTTTCCTCATTTTATAAAGAACGAGGATATGACTGATCGTGACGTGAGTATCATGTACTGCTTCGAAGTTGCATTACGTAACAAATAAACTAAAACATCTAGCAAATTCACTTTGATTTTTTCGTAATCAATGATTTCTGTATAATTAGTTTTTAGCCAAATACCCGGGCAATTATGGCACAGGTGGGGCATTGGCTATTGATAGAAGTCCATACAAAGACAAAAATGATGGCTTACTACTGACTGCGTTCAAAGAAATGGGATTACCTGAAATAGACTATAATTCAAATTCCAGTATCATTGGCACATCTCATATCCGGTTTACCAATAATTATGGAGCTCGACACAGCATTAACAGCGCATTTATAAGACCCATACGAGGAAGAAGAGAAAACCTTATTATAAGTACAAACAGCTTAGTTACAAAAGTGGTTATAGATGAAAAAACTAAAAAAGCTACGCAGGTCGAGTACGTCGATTTGAAGACGAAGAAGACTAGAATAGCTGTGGCAAAAAAAGAAATAATAGTGTCTGCAGGAGCCATCGAGTCGCCAAAGTTGCTAATGTTATCGGGTATAGGGGCAGCGGGTGAGCTTCGCGAAGCAGGTATCAAACCTGTTCACGAGTTGCCTGGCGTAGGAAAAAATCTTCACGATCACGTGGATGTTCTTACGTTGCTGATTGATTTTGACAATACGACCTCGACGATCAATACTAGAAAAAATATGGAGAATGATTTTGCCAATTGGATGAGCACTCACGGAGGGCCTCTATCAGGCTCTGGACTTTTGAATACATTAGCGTATCACCAAACAAAGTACGAAACTATCCCAGGAGTTCCTGACATACAAATTTATCCTAATAGTAGATTGGTCGATCGATCGAGCAATCAACGCATACCCTTCACTCCACTTGCCTACTATAATAGAATGGAAGTATTTACAAGGCTTTTGAACCCCGAGAGCCGTGGACAGATAAAACTAAATAATACCGATCCTACTTGGAGTCCACCTCTAATTTATGCAAATTATTACGACAACCTTAACGATATGAAAAGAATACTAGCTGGAATAAAGTTTGTAAAAAACATTTTACAAACAGAAACTTTTAAGGCCAAAGGTTTTGAGAATTATATATTTGACGAATGTAAGCAACACAAATTCGACAGTCAAAATTACGACCTTTGTATTATAAAATATTATACAGCAACAGGATATCATCCAGTGGGGACGTGTAAAATGGGACCAAAAAGTGATCCTATGGCTGTAGTTGATGCAGAACTAAAAGTTCATGGGCTTGAAGGCTTAAGGGTAATCGATGCCTCAATAATGCCGGAGGTGGTAAGAGGAAACTCGAATGCACCGACTATCATGATTGCAGAGAAAATAAGCAATGTTATAAGAAAAGCGTGGACTTCATAGTGAGGTAGCTAGGAATTCATTTTACTCATGCTCTAGCGCATTTTGACGTATCCAATGTCAGACACACATATTATGAATAAATACATACTTATCTCTTATCCTTTGAATTTTCTTTAAATGATCCTCCCACTTGTGTTGACGATATGGTAAAAATTTAAATATTTTGAATATGCAACGTTTTCATTACTTTTTTTGATTTTTTTAAGTTACAAAATTCAAACAAAAAGATGTAATGTGTTATTAAAGATAAATCAGATCGCTCTACTATTATTGTTCAAGAAATCCATACAGATTTCATAATAATCTTTCAATTAACAATTACTGCTCAAACCACAAGATGATTAGGATAATTTGAACAAAGGAAGGTTTGATAAAAGTTTTTATAAGAATACCTTTGGCCATTATTTTTGTTATAATGTATGTAAAAGAAGTTATAAAATACTCTTGTCATGATTATTTTTTACTAAAAAAATTAACGCTGTAATGCAATATATATTGTGTGATTACCAAACAATAAATAGATCTCTAATATTTTGGATCAAAGAATCTTTAAATATCTTATTTTGTTTGTATTTATCCATCACGTCTAAAATTATCATAAAAGTCTTAGTATTCAATGATGGTAAAAATGGTTAAAAATTCATACCTAAGGTAAATCCAACCATAAAATCACTTTTTATTTAAATGAATATCATTTTCTGTTGTTTCATGCGTAATTTTACGTGTTTCAATAATTTTTAGCCCGAGGAAAAGATCGCAAAGATTTTAATCACGACGAAAGCCTCTTTTAGTGAAATTAAACCGAATTATGCTTTTGGCACGAGCTCCTGACTCCCCGATGTTTCGCGCGAGTTTATTTTATTCTGTTGACGTGTCGCCCACCAAGTTTTCTTTGGCACTTGGCCCCTGCAGCGCTGACAGCAGCCTCAGACGGAAAAAAACACACACACACACACACACAGAGACAAAAGAAAACTTTTGCCATATTTTTCCTCCGCGCGCCTCAGCAAACACAGCGAGTACATAATTCCCCATCATCAGCATGATTATGGAAATTTCTGGGTGTTCCAAAATCATCATTGCATATTTGAGTTGCCGAAAAAAAAAAAAATGCAATCAACGTCAAAACATTTAGCATAGACGAACACCCCCCCTTCCAAGGGAGACAGCCACATTATTCTCCATGTATGCCTATGCGCGACGAAACGTATATAATTTGAAATTCATTTTGGCCGAACGTGACAACTCCCACGAACGAGCGCGGAAATTTGAATTCACGTGCTGTCGCTGCAGCAGTGGTGGGAAAAACGTCAAAACGAGCGATGAGATGCGAAATATTGCGGGAAAATTAATGAGCGGACGTGACGTGGCGTCGAACCGGTATAGCTTTGATTACGAAAGCGCGTAAGGTTGTATTTTTTCCGCACCAGGTGGTGTTGGGCCGGAAACGTTTCGATTTCACTGATTGCCCCCCCCCCCCCAGGTTATCGAGAATAACCAAATGTTTCAATTTGTGGTTGGAATTTTCATCTCCACCCTGTCTTCTATACACAAATTCATACTTTTAAATACATGCAGATATCATTTTTGATACCTGCCAATGGACATCCCAATGTTTCATGACGATTCCAGCTTGTTTTGTACTCCACCAAGTCTGAGGCTCTACCCAAGAAAGCATTATGGAAAGTTTGGTCTTGTGACATTGGTTGCATTGAACTGGATTATAAAGAAGTTAGGTTGACGTCATGGTTCATCGATTTTCTAATGTACCTCTTTTATACTTGGGTAAAATATGTCTGCTTTGACCATTGGTGATACGAGGTAGTTGTCATGGTGAGAATTGATCAATCATAACACAAATGACTAATGTACAACAGATCATGATGATTATAGCTTCAAAGTACTATTTCCAGGAGAAATTACGTCCATGTGTGCTATATTTACAGTTTCATTCCATTAGATACGATTGTTTTACATTTTTGCTTTGTTTTAAAATTATCAGGCTAAAAGTAGCCATACCGTTGATTTGAAAGTAGTCGAAGTTGTCTTCGTTAGTGTCATTGCAATCCAAATTCCAACATTCACAAGCAAGGTGTTGATTCCAATGGATCAAAGACTTCTCTACAGTCTTTTTCCATTCGTTGCTTACATTTATTACTTTGCCCTTTGCAAAGCATTGTGTTTGTCTTATTTATTTCTCTTGTCCTTGTGGATCTATTCTCAAGTTTCTCGTTTAATGCTGGAACCTTACCAAGATTAGTATACCTTAGATTTACCTACACTGGTTAGAAGGAGGCAAGTATGGAACTGTACTCATCGTAATACTAGAAATATCAGTCTTATTCATGTAGTCTCTAAAATGTTGGAAAAGACTGGATTTTTTTCGTCTCTAATTCTACAGCTCAGTTAATAATTTTCAAAGCTTGTACACGTCATGAACTACGACCAAAAGTAGAGAGTTCAAATATCCATGACATGGCGTTCATGACGACGGTTTCGTATCACAGCTGATCAGCAATCCTTTACTTCTGAAAACAAAACAACCCGTGCCGTACAAGAGCCCCATAATAATAGCTACGGGGTGCTATCCCCTGTATCCTCTAAAATCAATTTGTCTTCCCAGTTGGACACGAGAACCGTGACAATGAACCGTTAACATTTTTTTTTTTTCGTCCAGAGCTGAAATCCAAGTAACACCGTAAAGCTTCGGTGAACCACCTACATACCCTTTCGTACGCTCAGAAAATCACGTGGCCATCCGTAAAACAACAGCCGGCACCGCTATTCTGTGATTCCGCGCTATCGGCGTAATAACACGTTGTAAGGAACGGAAAATCCATACGCAGAAAGATCGGATAAGGAAAGCCGTAGGCCACTGTGTACACACACACGTGTACACGTTGCAATAACAGCAGCAATGAAAGAGAAAAAAAGTATGCAATCTCAATCCTGGGATCTTTAGTGCGGATTATGTAAGGTCGACGATATACACGAGGTGGACGGAGGGAACTACGGATCGATCGGGTGCGACGATCTGGAATTGCTGTAATTGCCGGTTCGGAAGTTAATTTGAATACATGGCTGACGATTGTTAAAGCTTTTTTTTTCTCCTAACTGTCCATCGAGATATAGTAGATGGCGTGATGCGTCGCGTGAAAAATTAAAGGTAAAAAAATTTCGCTGGGCGTGTGCAACAACAGAGTGCCGGGTTAACAAACGAGACATCGTGTAAAACAAGCGATTGCGATGGTAAATTTAAACGAAAACAAACTGGTTGCACGGCCGATCGTGCGGCACGCGATTCTTATACACGACTGCGGGGACAGGTTGTTGCTTTTAAAATTTACACTTGGCATTGCGCTGCACGTGACTGATGATTCGATAATCGGTGGCTCAATCAAAGATGATTAATTTCGTAATGTGGGGGGGGGGGGGTCGTTATGGTCGTCTTTTTTTCATGGAAAATTTTATTGTATAATGTGGTCTAAAATTACTTTGCAAGTAACAGCTTAGGTAACGCAATTAATCCTTTTCTGGAATAGTTAAACCTTGCCACAAAAATATCACCTAATAAGATACGTATACAATGTATTCATTGCCATTGAACCATTAATTTTTTAACTCATGACGAGAAATTACACACTTGCTACTCGATGTGTACATATATGTACGACAATTGTTAAAATAAATCGAACAAATATAGTTACTTTTCAATGTTCAGACGTAAGTAACGTAGTGCTTCTGTTGGCATCGTGCGATCGCTGATGCAATACTGTGACATGATACATCCAGACAGGCACGCCACGTCTCCTTCCCCTTTCCGCCCTCCGTTAATCCTTACAGTTTCGCTAATACGATGAATGTCACAACTGTACCCCCCAGTCTGCCCTGCCAAAACTTAATTAAACAATTAAACGATACAACTATTGTCTCACAACCAACAGCTGAACGACATCGAAAAAAAATTTTCTAAAAAACCTCTTTCTTACTAATCATCTCTAGAACACGCGTGACTATTGTTAATTTCGTATCTTATATGCTGAAGGTATGTCAACTGAAACCAGAGAGTAGGTAGGAACAAAAAAAAAAACACCCCCGGCACTGTTGTAGCTCGTTTATTCTCGTCATTTCCGTAAAAAAGTCTCGACAAAGCGCGGACACATATATACATACCAGTTTTACGGAGATTACAGTACACCAAACCGGATACCGAAAGCGCGTGTACATAAAAGCATAGCAAAAGTGCCAGGGCGTTAATCTCGGGATATGCATTATCCCGGGCTCGCGCGACGCTGATATACTTTTCCCTTAACTGTAATCTAATAAGGAGACAAAGCGCAGTCTTGGCAGCGAAAGAAACAAAGGCACCCCCCGCGTACATTGTGTGCTCGCGAAAAGGAAGCGAGGAAAATAATAATTATTGGACCTGCGGAGGAGGGGGGTGGGGGGCTGCTGTACAGCGTCGGGGGTTTCTTTTTCACGCTAGGAGTAGGAAGGGAATTCGCAAGGCTTGGATTTATGGTGGTTCGCTGAATAATGGAGTCCAACGGGGAAATGCTAATTTTCGGGAGTACCACGGCGCGGGAATTATCGGGGATTTCCCTGTTTACGATCCTTCTTCGCGGCTCCTACGGGAATTCGCGGGAGGTAGGAAGGGATTATCAGCCCTGCCGATCCTACGGTTATTATTTTTCGTCCTTTCGCGGAGTTTGACAATGTATACAATGTACCGATGGGTTGTTCTTTGAAAAACAAGTCAACGATTTTTCACTTGTTGCTGTTCCAATGTAACAAGCAAACCACGGACTCGTACGAAACAGGGCGGGGTCATATTAGACAGGAGAAATGGGGGTAGTAGGAGCTAATTCCCGGTGTTAGATAGGTACACGCGAGAAAAAATGGGAAGGAAGCGATTATGCGTCGCGAGTTTATCGTCGTGAACTGCAATACTCCATCCACACGTACGAGGTACTCGTATACAAGAGCATAGAGAAGGTGAG